CCCCAAAACCCCAAAACCCCAAAACCCCAGCCATTAACATTTTTCTTAAAATGGAATAATACACTTAAAATTGAAATGAAAAGTAAAGATATCGCTTCTATAAAGCAATTTAGATATGTTTCAGTTTAGATTTCATTTAAAATTAAAGTTCTTTTTTTCAGAGTTATATTTAGATGAGGCGTCTGTGTTTTCAATATCAGAATCTGGCCTTCCTATGTCTTGCATCTCTATCTAGGAGCTGACCACTTCTTCTCGGAGAGGCTGGGATTGATATTGTTGATTTTTCTAAAGATAAAATCTGATTAATAAGTATTTATACTGGTTTGACTTTGAAAACTCTAATGTTGAGGGTCACTGTCATTTCATAGATTACATTCAGGATAAAATGCCATTGACAAATTGATATAAAGATTAATAGACTCATAAAATAGTACTATTAGTTGATCTCATACCTATCAGATTCATAAAAAAACTAATCAATTTACCTTTAATATTTGCAGAGTACTGTATAGATTACCATGATAAAGAAGGAAGATAGCATAAGTCTTGGCCAAGGATTATACTTTTATTTGCTAACATGAGCCACTTAGATATGTACTGTGATATGAACATAAAGGAAAACACCTATCAAACAAGGTACAATAGGGTTCCAGTAAATAATAGCATCATCCTAAGCGTAAATGGCAATATATATCATTGTATAAATGCAGTAGTATGCAAAAACCTAAGATATAAGATCTCCACACTTTAAAACTTCTCCTTACTCTCTTTATTCCGGAGTTAGGTCTTTATACTGATGTCTAACCATTGTAAATATACTAAAACATAATAAGCAAAAATAAATAAATTACTTATTTGCAACTGCTAAAATCTGAGTAAATAGCATAAAGTATATGAATATATGAGAGGCTCTGAGGAAGTACGTTTCTTCAAATACAGTAATGCTGAAGATTTCTTTCCAAAACGACTGCCCAAAAACTCCACAAAGAGTGACAACTCCAATTAATACGATTGAACCATCAGTAACACCATTTCCAACTCCAAGAAAGAGTCCACCAACATAGTATTCTTCTAAGGTTGAGAAATGAAATGCTTAAGTGATTGCAACTAGGCCTAAGATGAGCATATGACTATTTCCGACCTAAAGAAGCTTCATTAACATCATAGTCATTAACCCTGTAGTGAAAGAATCACATCCATGATCAAATAGTAAACCTAGAGGTGAAGAGTTACCAGTCTTTCTGGCTTATTTTCCATCCATCTCATCAAGCATTCTATAGATTAGGTAACTAACTGCTTCGAAATAACACCACCAAGCAGGGACCTCTCCCTCGAAGTTTTGTCCATACATAGAAAATAACAGTACAAACGGAACAATTGTAAAGAGAAATCCGAATAAAGTCAACTAGATTAAAATTCATTATAATGGATTCGCTTACAAGATTAGGCCTAATAAAGATAACAAGAAATAAAATTACGCTATGGTATCAGGAATCATATCAACTAGCTTTAATGCAACTGGATTATAGAAGTATCTGTACAATATTCCAGTATCCCCTCCAGCATACTTATACTGCCTTAGTTTCATTTAAGCCTCTTGACTTATGTAAGGAGTAAGCCTTAAGATTCGAGTATCTTGTCTTGATCTAAAAACTAAAATTTCAGACATTTTTATTTTTATTGACTAATTTATATGTCCACAGATATCATTTTTATCCGGGGTTTTGGGGTTTTGGGG